GAGATTGTAAAGGTACTGGAGAACATGCTTGACAAGCCTGCTTTCTTGTGTAATCTGTCTAAAATGGAAACTTTTATCAATGAAAAGGGGTAGAAGAGTATTGGAAATTTGTGGATCCAAGTGCCAGAAGTTGGGCAGCTGGGAAATTTTGGTTTTGCTTTATTCTTAAGTTCAGAGGTAAACCTGTTTTGCTATTGAGAAAAGTTATTTCTTCTAACATCACTGGACTTGTTGTAACATTCATTCATTCATTCATTCAATTTATTTTAACCTGCTTCCCCTTCCCCCTTGGAGTAACATTTTTTTCTTTATATATATATATATTCTTTTTGAGACAGGGTCTGGCTCTGTCACCCAGGCTGGAGCATAGTGGTACAATATTGGCTCACTGTAGTTTCTGCTTCCTGGGCTCCAGTGATCCTCCCACCTCAGCCTCCTGAGTAGCTGGGACTGCAGGCCCATACCACCGTGCCTGGCTTTTGTTGTTGTTTGTTTGCTTTTTGAGATGGAGTCTTGCTCTGTCACCCAGGCTGGAGTATAATGGCATGATCTCGGTTCACTGCATCCTCTGCCTCCTGGAATCAAGCAATTCTCCTGCCTTAGACTCCCAAGTAGCTGGCATGCACTAACTCTGTCTCTATTAAAAATACAAAATATCATGCCCTAATTTTTTGTATTTTTAATAGAGGCAGAGTTTCACCATGTTGGCCAGGCTGGTCTCGAACTCCTGACCTTTTGATCTGCCCACCTAGGCCTCCCAAAGTGCTGGGATTACAAGCATGAGCCACCATGCCCAGCCTAATTTTTCTATTTTTTGTGGAGATGGGATTTTGCCATGTTGCCCAGGCTGGTGTTGAACTCCTGATCTCAAGCAATCTGCCCACTTTGGCCTCCCAAAGTGCTGGGATTACAGGCATGAGCCACCATGCCCAGTGGGTTGGTGGCAGCATTTAAAGTGAACTGAGATGGCTTAGGAATTCATAACTTAGTGTGTCCCCTGAGTAGGACACCCTGAGTAGCAGAAATACCCTCAGTCTAAGGGCTATCACTGTCTGCTCAGTAACATTGGATGCTGGGGACAGTGACTTGGAAAAGAGAGATACTACTGAGTGAGTAGAGTTTGCAAATACTGTCTCATCAAGATCTGTCTATACTGATGTCGGTCAAGATGGATTTTAAAAGGGTGGGGTGCAGTAGCCAAAAGCCTTAATCAAACTCGAAAGACAATCAGAAAGTATTAGAAAAATTCACACCATTTCTGGAGAAAATGAAAACTTATGACAGATAGAGAGTAGGTATCTCGGATAGAAGGATCTTATGTGCCACTTATGGGGACAGAGGTGGGCAAAAAGGCAAGAAGGAATTTCTCTTTAACTAGGACACCAAAGCCAGAAAACCAATACCCATGGCTATAAAGAACAGCCCCATCTTGGTGTACTTTCTGAGCTGTCCCTGATAATTCCATGCTCTTCTGTAATAGTGTTGGTTGTAAATGTATTTCATGACATATGATGCAAGGGAGATGACAGCCCAGGAGACAGTGGAATGGATGGGCTCATTGGTTTTCTAACTCCTGTGTTCCCAGGAGCCCTGGGATGCTATAGATGGGGCCCTGGTGAGGACAGTTGATTTCCCACATAGGTCCCAGTGTTGCTTCCAGCCAGTGATTCATTAGCTGCATTACCTGGATAGGTCATTTTATCTTCTGGATTTTTGCTTCCCAGTCTATAAAATAAGGTCACGGGGTAGGTGGGGCTGGACCACATTAGTGTGTTTCGAGTTGTAAAACTTTTTGTTCAAATGAAAACAGATATATAAACCTAATATGCAAAAATAATTAGAGTATAAAATAAAGGGTGGGGGGTTAGCGATTGTCTAACAGTGAAGTCAACTATTTTAACTCTCAGACACTCTGTTGGCTAAATGATAATCTAAAGTGTGTATTTATTTGCAAGGCAGCCTGGCAGTGAAAACCCAACCATGGTCTGGTTTATTATGGAAAAGAATGTCAAGAGTTTTGGAATCATTTCAGACCAAGGCTGAAAACTTACGGCCAAAGTGGTTCTTCTGCCGTGGCAAGAGAAATTTGCAACTGCCTAGATTGTTCCTGGAACAGTAAACTTGTGTCTCTATATTTATTTACTTAAGAGAAAATCTGCTGGGGAAATGGAGTAAACTGTCAAACTGTATTCTCTGGGCAAAGAGCAGAAGAGTAGATTAGTGGAATGCTTGCCAGAATGAACCCTGCTGCAGAAATTTCTTGTAATAATGATCTTTTAATTGAATTTATAGTTTGTTGGAAAGAAACTCAGTGTTCAGGAGCTTGCCACTGCAGCATTTACAAGAGAACAGGGAACTAATTTAATATCCATGAACTGAAGAGTCACTTTAGAAAAGCATCAACTCCATTTGGTGATGTGTTTAAGTGAGTTTGCTTCATGGTTAGAGAAAAGGATTTGTCCCAAATAAATCTCTTACATAGTCCATCACTAATGAGCACTGAAGCACAGTCCCTGCTGGGTTTCTGGGTTTCTGATTTATTGATTGATTGATTGAGACAGGATCTTGCTCTGTCATCCAGGCTGGAATACAGTGGCACAATCATGGATCACTGCAGCCTTGACCTCCTGGACTCAAGCTATCCTTCCGCCTCAGTCTGTCAAATAGCTGGGACTAAAGGTGCATGCCCGTATGCCCAGCTAAGTTTTGTATTTTTTGTACACACCAGATTTCACTGTGTTTCCCAGGCTGGTCTCAAACACCTGTTCAAGTAACCTGCCCACCTGGGCATCCCAAAGTGCTAGGGTTATGGGTGTGAACCACCGTACTCAGCCTAGTTTTAAAATATTTTATAGAGATGGGGGTCCCAGTATGTTGCCCAGGCTGGTCTTGAACTCCTGAGATCAAGCCATCCTCCTATCTCAGCCTCCCAAAGTGTTTGAATTATAGGCGTGAGCCACTGCGTCCAGCTGGCCTGGTTCTACTTTATTTTATTTAGCCCATGTCATCCGGTAAATGTCTGAAATCTAGGTAGTGTGCCCAGGTGCTTGGATTCCGAGTCCCAGGGGATCAAGAAATCAACATGTATTTTGATTCCCTATAGAACATCAGAGATCATAGGAGCTATTAATATTAAGTCAGTCCAGTGTGCTCTGATACAGATTTTCTCCAAAAACATTTTTAGCTATGTGGCCCCCTAGCTATTCGCAGCAATTAATATTTATGAGACTTTATTTTTAAAAAGTGTCATTTAAAATTGATTTACTTTGCTGATTTTTTTTTCCTTGGCGGGGATGGAGTCTTGCTCTGTCACCAGGCTGGAGTGCAGTGGCGCAATCTCAGCTCACTGCAACCTCTGCCTCCCAGGTTCAGGTGATTCTCCTGCCTCAGCCTCCCGAGTAGCCGGGACTACAGGTACTAATTTTTGTATTTTTAGTAGAGATGAGGTTTTACCATGTTGGCCAGGCTGGTCTCAAACTCCTGACCTTAGGTGATCCACCCACCTCAGCTCCCAAAGTACTAGGATTACAGGTGTGAGCCACTGCACCCAGCCTATAAATGATACTTAATGCAGTGTTTTGTTTGTTTGTTTTCTGATACGGAGTCTTGCTCTATTGCCCAGGCTAGAGTGCAGTGGCACGATCTCTGCTCACTGCAACCTCTGCCTCCTGGGTTCAAGCAATTCTCCTGCCTCAGCCTCCTGAGTACCTGGGATTATAGGTGCCCACCACCATGCCCGGCTAATTTTTGTGTTTTTAGTAGAGATGGGATTTCACCATGTTGGCCAAACTGATCTCGAACTTCTGACCTAGTGATCTGACCACCTCAGCCTCCCAAATGCTGGGATTATAGGCATTAGCCACCATGCCCAGCCAGTGCAGTGTTTTAAAAGATCAAAATTAATGCAAAAATATCCATGATGAACAACATATCTGAAGTTTAAATAAAGTCAGGGAAAGTAACAGTGATGCTAAGCCATATTGGGCCTGAAGCAAAAGGAAAAATCAGTATAACCAATCCTGTCTTTATTTAAAATTTGGGTATTTTGGCCTGGCACAGTGGCTCATGCCTGTAATCCCAGAACTTTGGGAAGCTGAGGTGGGTTGATCACAAGGTCAGGAATTCAAGACCAGCCTGATCAACATGGTGAAATCCCGTCTCTTCTAAAAATACAAAAATTAGCTGGGTGTGGTGGTGCACGACTGTAATCCCAGCTACTTGGGAGGCTGAGGCAGGAGAATTGCTTGAACCCGGGAGGCGGAAATTGCAGTGGGCCCAGATCATACCACTGCATTTCAGCCTGAGGGACAAAGGGAGACTCTGTCAAAAAAAAAAAAAAAAAATTGGGCATTGTTTTCATCATGGATTTTTTAGCATAAATCTTGATTTAAAAAAAAATGTTGCCTCAAATGATCATTTATCTTGATGCCTGGATATTCTGGCAACCCTGTGACATTTTGCACCATCACCTGAATCCTATCTTGCACTGAGTTTTTAAATCTCTGTGCCAGGTAGTGAGCTAGGTGCTGGAGACACAAGATGAGGACATACAGGAGGCTGCAGACTAGTGGGAGTCAGTCATGTAAATTGTCACAGCACGGCACCATAATTGTATGGCTGTGTGCACAGTGCCACGGGGAAGCAGTTCCTGTTGAGTCAAGGTTCTCTGGGAGGAGGATTTGAGTGAGACTTGAGGGCTGTCTCCAAACTGGTCCGTGGACACAAGAGTAGGGGAAGGATTTGGTTGGAAACGGCAGGTCCCTTCATCACCTCAAGCCTCAGTTTACCTCATCTATAAAATGGAGGAAATAGCAGTGCTTGCCTTACAGGGTGGTGTGACAAGAATGAGTCTATCATGTTAAGCACCTAGAACAGAGCCTGGCACATAACTTGGCATATGTTAGCTGTGATGGCAATGACAGTGCTGGCTATTGCATGCAGATTTCTTAAAATGACAGTGTTCTTTCGGCTACATATGCAGTCTGAGCTTTGCTTTGCAGACATCCACGACAGCGATGGCAGTTCCAGCAGCAGCCACCAGAGCCTCAAGAGCACAGCCAAATGGGCGGCATCCCTGGAGAATCTCCTGGAGGACCCAGAAGGCGTGAAAAGATTTAGGGTTTGTCTTTTTCGTTATTAATCGGGATGGATGCAGTATGTGCAGAAGTTCAGATGCATGCAGGGGAGAAGTAGGCAGTTCAGCATTGTCTATCAGCTTAGCGCTGTCTATGCCAGCTCGAGAGATCAATACTGTCTATCCCAACTTGAGGGTGAGACTTTGTCATCTGTCATGACCGTGTTGGCAACGCTGTCACAGATAGTCCTGGACAGACACTGAGGGGCATGAGCAGCCTGTATGCGGTTTTTGTGTAGTGAGATGGGAGGGGATGCAGGGTGTGGGGAGAAGATACGTGCCCATTGGTGTAGTCTGTATAAGGAATTCCCAGCTCTGGGTATCTCTGATGTGAAGGCTTGTTCTCTCATGCTTGGGGGATTCTCAGAATGCATTGTTGACAGAGTGAGAGAGGCTGCCAATGTGAACTTGGCAAAGGGACCTCCGAGAGCAGGGCTGATGGATAGGGGACTGTCGATGCCACTTAGAAATAACTTTTCCCTGGCCGGGCATGGTGGCACACTCCTGTAATTCCAGCACTTTGGGAGACTGAGGCAGGCAGATCACAAGGTCAGGAGTTCAAGACCAGCCTGCCAATATGATGAAACCTGTCCGTACGAAAAATACAAAAATTAGCCAGTTATGATGGTGGGCACCTGTAGTCCTAGCTACTCAGGAGGCTGAGGCAGGAATCACTTGAACCCAGGAGGCAGAGGTTGCAGTGAGCCAAGATCGCACCACTGCATTCCAGCCTGGCCAGCAATGGAGCAAGACTCTCTCCCCCCACCAAAAAAAAGAAAGAAAGAAAGAACTTTTCTGACCAGCAGAAGCCCCTGATGCCAGTTGGAGGACACATGTGAATTTTGAGAATGAGTCCTGATCACTTCTGTCTTTAAGTCTTCGGTCAGGAATAAGATGAGTCCTCATGCAGCTGGTCCCTGTTGGGGCTCCCAGGGGGGCAGTGGCAGGTGGTACTAGGTTTCTAGTTCCTGGTCGCCAGGCCACTGTGAGCAGCATTTGCAACTCAGGAGGTCTCTGCTCAGCAGAGTAGCTGGCTGTGCCACGGACTGCCCAAGATCTGCCAAAAGAAAGCGCACACACCTCCAACTTAAAACGGATTTTGTCATGGTGCTTTAGACATGCTTCATGTATTTTCTTTTCTTTTGTTTAAAAAAAAAAAAGAGCCTGATTTTAGAGGAATGTGCTTTGTTTAAACACTGTCTGGAAGGAACCAATATATCTTCCACTTTAATTTACTTTTTGGTAATTTATTGTCAGCTTAGAAATATGAGTAGATTCCTGCTTCATCTGTACTATTCATTACACTTTCAAACCATTAAAGTCAAATGCACATGAAATTCTAGCTTTAATATTAAACATACGCATTTGTTTTTGAGAGTGGAGTTTTCTGAGAGTAACTGAACCATGTTCCTCTGTTGAATTTTGCCATATCAGTCTTTGAAGGGAAATGCCATTTGTTTCATTTTTTAAAAATGTGGAATACCGTGTAACTCTTTTTCCTTGTATCCACAGGAATTTTTAAAAAAGGAGTTCAGTGAAGAAAACGTTTTGTTTTGGCTAGCGTGTGAAGATTTCAAGAAAATGCAAGACAAGAAGCAGGTATTTCCTCTTCTCTGTAATCACTTTCTTGACAACTTTTTTCTATTTCCTTATAAAGTTACAACTGCCTTTCCAATAGATTCTGAAATTGCCTAAAGAAACATGATTCACATTAGTTTTGGGGGAAGATTTAAGCTTCAGATTAGGTATCTTGTGTTGATCAAATATTAATCTTTTTATTTTTTTGAAACAAAGTCTCGCTTTGTTACTAGGCTGGAGTGCAGTGACACAATCTCGGCTCCCTCCAACCTCCGCCTCCCGGGTTTAAGTGATTCTCCTGCCTCAGCCTCCCGAGTAGCTGGGACTACAGGCATGCCCCACTATGCCCAGTTAATTTTTGTATTTTTAGTAGAGATGGGGTTTCACCATGTTGGCCAGGATTGTCTCAATCTCTTGACCCTGTGATCTGCCTGCCTCAGTCTCCCAAAGTGTTGGGATTACAGGCGTCAGCCACCGTGCCCAGCATTTTTTTTTTTTTTTTTTTTTTGAGACGGAGTCTTGCTCTGTCACCAGGCTTGAGTGCAGTGGCACAATCTCGGCTCACTGCAACCTCCACCTCCCAGGTTCAAGCAATTCTCCTGCTTCGGCCTCCTGAGTAGATGGGACTACAGGTGCACACAACCACACCCAGCTGTTTTTGTATTTTTAGGAGAGACGGGGTTTTACCATGGTGGCCAGGATGGTCTCGATCTCTTGACCTCGTGATTTACCCACCTCGGCCTCCCAAAGTGCTGAGATTACAGGTGTGAGCCACTGCGCCCAGCCCATTAATCATTTTTAAAAGGATGAGTTAATCCATTTTTAAATGGCGCCGTTCAAATGGACCAATATTTAAAATAAAAACAACTTATGTCATTTAGAGTTTCTCATTGCATACCATTTTTTTCTTCATGAATAAGTTATGAAGATGTCTCCCCCAGAGTTTGACATGTTAGCATTTTTGGACGTGGTAAAACAATAAGCAGATGTATAACGATAAAAGCACAAGGTGCATCAGAGGGATTGTCAATTATTCAATATACCTTTCTGAGTGTCCCATAGTTGGCGAGCATCCTGCATAGAAAGTCTCTGACTGTTCTCCTGGGTAGATGCGTCCTCTTTGCCTTCATTCCCAATGTCAGCTGTTGGGTCTAAGGGTGGTAGATGAGATTATGGGGAAGGAGGCCTGTGCCCTGGATGGGTTTATGAGGCCTGGCCCTGTATCTTTCTAAGAGGCTGCTGGCTAAATGCCTGCAGGAGCCAGTAAGTCATGTGAATGAAGGAGGCTCCTGGTGTGAGTCTGGAGGGAATGGTGGGGACTGGGGCCACCTGAGGACAGCCTGTCTGCCTGCACAGACTGTGGCTGGTGGTTTAGGGCCTGTGGCTGGTGGTTTAGGGCCTGTGGCTGTCTGGGCTTCCCCTGCTTCAGGTTCTGTCTCCACCAACTCACTAACGGCAATCTCCTAGATCTTTGCTTGCCCTGGGACCCTGGTGACCTTTCTTCCCAAGGCACCTCTTCTGTTCTACCTAGGGCTGCCTGTTTTTCTAAAGAAGCTGGACATTTGGATCCTTATGTGAAACCAGATGATTTTTAAATGTTGGAATTCATTTTAAAATATTTAAACCCTTGCCTGCCAAACAGAACATACCCACGGGCAGGTGCAGCTTGTGGGCTGCCAGTTTTTGAGATTTCATGTCCAAAAGCTGGAATCCATGGGCCAGGAGCTGTGAAGTGTTTGCAGATAACTGCTTGGAAAAAGTAAATGAATAAATGAAATGAATAAATGGGTTTATTCAATGGCTTTTCCGGGTGCAAACACGCATCTCCCCAGATGGCACAGTGCGGCCTTTTCTCCGCTACCTTCCTCTCCAGAGGTGGCAAGGGAGGATTCTAAGATGGAGTCTCTTTGGCTTGAACTTCCCAGGCCCACCTGAAAAGCCATTGCTGGGCATGACCCTTGGATTTTGCTTTCCGGCTTTTTCTCTCCTCTGGGTGAACTTGCCTGGAGCCTCCTGGGTGGAGAGGGGGCCTCAGGGAAAAGTGAGAAGCAGGTGGTGGGGGATGCTTTGGAATGTTAGGATTCAGGCTAAGGGCCTTCAGAACAGGAGCCTCCCTGTTGTCCTTTGTCCCCAGCACCAAGGACAGGGCCCGGGGACCATTATCAATAAATGGTAGACTCTGCAACTACTGCGACCATCCTCACCGTAAAATCCTAGCTCAGAGTCAAGCAAGCAAACAGATGTCCATTCCCCTGCCTTCTTCTTTTGACTATTAGAGGTAGGAGAGGCCTGTGGGTGGGCCGGCCCACTCTTGCAGTATAATGAGGAAGTGAGGTCCCCGCAGCATGGCAGAGCTAGGACGTGAACCAGCATGCTGGAACCTGAGGTTCCCTGCACACCATGCTGCTCTGTGCCTCCGTTCAGTTGAACTCCCTGAATCTTTGTGAAGTGCCTGCTTGATGCCCGGCACTGAGCAGGAGGCAGCCCAGGGACAGGACAGATGAGCAGCGCCAAGGAAGTGCGCCTGGAGGGAGTAAGCCTGTGCAAGTGCTATGATGGGCATAGAGATGGGAAGTGCATGTGCCGTGGGAGCAAGGCGAGGGCAACAGGGAGGGATCCAGGGGAAGTGGCTTTTTAGCTGAGACTTGGCATTGAGATGGGGAAGGCGTTCCCGAGAGCAGGGACAGTGTGTGGGCAGGCATGGCTGGTGAGAAGAGCTGAGGGAAGACCAGAAGGAATGAGTGGCATGTTTGAGGGGGAAGCTGCTGTGCTGTGCTTCAGGCTGGCAGGGAAGCCACACCTGGGAACCTGGGTGCCAATGTGAGCAGGGCTGGGAAGGCCCCTGTAGGACTTTAATGGGGTGGTTGGAGGATGGGGTCAAACCTTCGACGTGCCTCCTCCAGCCTTTCAGGTGAGGCAGGTCTGGTGTTGGGCTGCCCTGCCCTGTCCATCTCCTACAGAGAGAGCCTCAGAACGGGCAGCCCCTTTCCATGCCTGTACCCCGACACGTCCAGCATAGGACATCTTTTCTCTTCTCTTCTCTTTTTCTTTTTCTTCTACTTCTTATTTTATTTTATTTTTTTTGAGACAGGGCTTGACTGTTGCTCAGGCTGGAGTGCAGTTCCACGATCTTGGCTCACTGCAGTCTCCATCTCCTGGGTTCAAGTGATCCTTCTGCCTCAGCCTCCCAAATAGCTGGGATTACAAGTGTGTGCTACCATGCTTGGCTAATTTTTGTATTTTTTGTAGAGATGGGGTTTCACCATGTTGGCCAGGCTGGTCTTGAACTCCTGATATCAAGTGATCTGCCTGTCTTGGCCTTCCAAAGTGCTGGAATTGCAGGTGTGAGCCACTGCGCCCGGCTCAGCATAGGACTTCTCTAGAAAGTCTGTGTCCTTAAGCCTGGAATGCAACCGGCAATTGCTTTGGTGCAGTGAATGCCACCGTCCCCTGTCACTGCCTGAGAATGCAGATTGGGTGGAGGCATTGGTGATACCTGGGGTGTTTGTCCTGGAGTGTCTGGGCCCCAGTGTGAGTCATCGTTCCCATTAGAAGATGCAGGGATATGATCTGAGTAGTTAAGCAGCAGCTTGCCTGAGGCTGGGGACAGTGGCTCACGCCTGTAATTCTAGCACTTTGGGAAGTCAAGGTGGCTGGATCACTTGAGCACTGGCCTTCGAAATCAGCCTGGGCAACATGGTGAGACCTTGTCTCTACAAAAAAAAAAAAAAAAAAAAAAAAGACATGATGGTGTGCACCTGTAGTTGCCTGGGGTGATCGAGGCTGCAGTGAGCTATGATCATGCCACTGCACTCAAGCCTGGGTGACCGAGTAAGACCTTGTCTCAAAAAAAAAAAAAAAAAAAAAAATTCAGAGCCACATTTCTGATGCCAGGCATCACCTAGTGAGTGCTGCTGCCTGGGAAGTAAAAACAGGGAGGAAGCTCTAAATTACCAATTTACAAAAGTCAGGGGGACGGGGAACGTAGGCACTGGGAGAAGTTGCCTAACTGAATTTCTTTGTTCTTTTTTTTTTTTTTGGAGACAAAGTTTTGCTCTTGTCACCCAGGCTGGAGTGCAATGGCACGATCTCAGCTCACTGCAACCTCCGCCTCCTGGGTTCAAGTGATTCTCCTGCCCTCAGCCTCCCAAGTAGCTGGGATTGCAGGTGTCTGCCACCACACCTGGCTAATTTTTATATTTTTAGTAGAGACGGGGTTTCACCATGCTGGCGAGGCTGGTCTCAAACTCCTGTCCTCAGATGAGCCATCCGTCTGGGCCTCCCAAAGTGCTGGGACTACAGACGTGAGCTGCCGCACCCGGCCAGTTATTTTTAATCCTCTATTGTGCACTTCTAACTGGATTTCACAGTCAAATTTATTACGTCTGTTCCAGCAGGGAGACCATGGGAGGATTTTTCTTCCCATCCAAGTACTAACCAGGCCCAACCTTGCTTAGCTTCCGAGATCAGATGAGATCTGATCGGGCACGTTCAGAGTGGCATGGCCGTAGACGAGAGGGTTTCACCGACTCTGTGTATCCGTGTCATTTACTTGTCTATCTTCTGTATGGTTTGTCTTGTGGGCTCTGGGACAGGGACCACTTCTTCCCCAGTGTCTCTGAGGGCCCAGACCCATCCATGCCTGACACATGTGAACTTCCCTTCCTCTTTGTAGGACTAAGGCATTCCATTGCCTGGATCCAGGTCCTCTTCTCTCCTGAGTCATTCCCTCATTTGGGGAATAGCACATGAGAATGACTTATTCCTTCCAGAATGACTCAGCAGAGAAGAGCCCAAAGCAAAGCCGGCAATAGCTTCCTGAGAAAGGGGGCTGGACAGGTAGAGGTGTAAATGGCTGTGAGTGGAAATGTTATTTTTTTCCTACCCTCCCACTTCATTGGTAATCTGACAGAGCATACAATTCTGAGGTGGAATGTACTCAGAAGTTTGAAGATGTCCCATAGTCTACTTTGGTTGAGAATCAGTAATTTATATGTAAACTGTTCTGTTTTCTTTCTTTT